AATAAAGAAAAAAATAAAAATAAAATAAATTATATAATTCCAATAATAATAATAAAAATAAAAATAAATTTTTTTTTGGATGTTACAGACAATGCATAAATTGAGAGACTTTGTTAATGGTAAAAGCAATATCAGGATGAGTGAAAGTCAAATACTGCAGGCCACCTACAATACTCCTAAATAGTGTTATGTCATGAAAAACCTTTCAATCTCGAGCACTAAGTTTATCTGAAATAGCCACTGGAATACTGATAGGATTGCAAGTAGACATCTTTGCCGGTGCAAGCAAATCTTTAATGTATTTACGTTAACTAAGCATTAAGCCATTTGGCTTCTAATTTGCCTCAATACCAAGAAAATAGGAGAGTTGGCCGAGATCCCGTTGTGCAAATTACTTGTGAAAATAGGCAATCAACTGTTGAATAAGAATATCATTTGAACCAATAACAAAAATGTCATCAACATATACTAAACAAAAAATATAATCAGCTCTACGAGAGTAATAAAAAAGAGATGGATTAATCTTAGACCTAGAGAAGCCAAATTGACATAGAGTATCTGTGAGCCTTTTGGTCCACATCCTGGGTGCCTGTTTTAAGCCATAAAGAGACCGTTTGAGCAAACAAAGATGATCTTTTCGTTGTCGATCTACAAAACCTAGAGGTTGAGACATATAAATTTCTTCTTCTAAGAACTCATGCAAAAAAACATTACAAATATCAATCTGAGTAACTTTCCATCCTCGAGAGACAATAATGAAAAAAAAAGCATAATTTTAGCAGGCTTAATAACCGGACTAAAGGTGTCTATAAAATCAATGTCAGGATGCTGAGTGTACCCTTAGGCAACTAAGCGGGTTTTATACCACTCAACAGAACCATCAGGGTTTTATTTGGTTCTAAAAATCCGTATACACCCAACAATATTCTATTTTGGATAGGAGGAACTAATTGCCATGTATCATTTTCCTGATACGTATTAGCAGTTGCCATGTAGACATCACTATTAACGATTTGGCTTTAAGTGAAAAACATGGTGCATCTAGGGTTTTGATTCTGATACTATAAAAGATTGGAAGACTCAATTATATTTCATTAACAATAGTGAATATTTATACAAGAGTGTTATAGTAGAAAATAGGAAAATATAAATCTATTGTTTTCCTAAAATATAGAAATTATCATAATAGAGTTGACCTAAAATACTGCGATTATCATAATAGTATTTTTCTAGAATATTGCAATCATCATAATAGTATTTTTCTAAAATACTGCAATTATCATAATAGAGCTACATTCCTTATCAGTCTTATTAGAAATTTGTCAAATTTGTTTACTGTAACAATTAATTTTATACTCAAAAATAAAAAACTGCATAATTAACAAAGACCCATGTTATAATTGTCTAAACCCGAAAATTCTATTAAAATAATTATCTAATTGAAAATCTTACTAATTATTTAATTAAAAATCATAATAAATATTAAAATAATATTTATTGAAAATTCTACTAAAATTAAAAACTTTTAACTAAAATTTTCTGACTTTTAATTAAGAAGTATATTGAAATTAAAATGTCAATTAAGAAATATAGTAATAACATTCTAATTAAAATTCCTACTAAAATTAAAATCATTTAATTAAAAATTATATTAAATGTTGCAATTCTTCCAATAAAAAACCTACAGAAATTAAAATTATACTTGTTTAATTAAAAAATTTATTCAAAGTAAAGGTGTCTAATTAAAAATTATACTAATAAAAGTTCATTTATTTTAAAACTAATATAATTAAAAAAAATCCTAATAAATGTGTAATTAAAAATTTATTGTAATTAAAATGCCACACTTAAAAAGACATGTGATACACTTCTATCAAAATTAAAAATTTATTGAAATAAAAAACTCTGTTATCTTTTTAACAGAAAATTGTACTAAAATAAAATTGCTTGATTAAAAATTGTTTTGCCTAAAAAAAAAAAAAGAATCATGTATTGTATTTTTATTAATTGTATAATTAAAAAATTAAAAATTATAGTAACTATGTAATTACAATTTTATCAAATTGATTATTATAATTAATTATATGATCTCTCTCCAGCACAAATTATATATCTAATTAAGCAGAATTTTTCAGCGGTGAAGATTTTTTTTTTTTTTTAATAAAAAAGTTAAAATCTGAAAGGAGAAAAAGAAAAGAAAAAAGAGAAGGGAAAATAGGTGAGCCAAATTGACAAAGGATTCCCACGAAAAAAAAAGAAAATTTTGAATAAATAAAATATAAGTAAATGCAATCCCGGACGTATAAACCCGGTTTAGCCTTAATAAGAATGTCCAGCTAATATAAGGACCAGGTTGCCGGTTTTCAAATCGACCGGAGTTTCTTTATCGAATTTCCTCATTTACAAAAAGCACGAACCGTATCCTCGTCTTCCTCGATTGTCTGCTATCCTCTTCCTACCCAAATTTTCTCTGGAATCGATCTGCGGTTTTCTCTTGATTTTCTTGTATAATCTTCAAATCCATCATTAATTTTTTTCAATTATATCTCTTTTATTTCAATCTGTGCCTTTTCCGAACGTGGCCGTTGATTTTCGAGATCTCCGGGGCTAGGGTTTCGATCTCCTCGATCGAGCCATCTAATCTACCGATCATTCTTTGATTTCAATCGGACGTCAATTTCTGTTAATATTCCTCTATAATTAGGTCTTAATTTTGTACATAACTTCAGATCTGTCCTTGTTTTAGGGTTTCGAAATTTTCGATTCGTTTGACTTGTTAGACCTGTTAATCTTTAGAGGGCTTTGATTTCTTTCGTCTTTAAGAGGCTGATCATTGGATATTGAGGCGTTAATTTTGTGGTATTATTTGCGATTCGCAATCTAGGGTTAGGGTTTCGAAAATTTTTTAGGGTTTTGCTGTTTGGTCAAATTCGATTGGGGAAACCTTCATTGGCCCTTTCTAATTGGTTTTAATATCAAATTCAGTCTTCCTTGAATATCAATTGAGGCTTCTAGAGTCTTTAATTGATCTTTCATCTTGACCTCTTTCTGGTGAAGTCTCCTGTTGTTGAACCGTACGCATTTAGAGAGGTAATAGTTCTTGTTTTAAATTGTTGCAAATTTAATTATTATAGTAGTTCTAATTTCTCGCTTTATTTGGTTCCTTTTATTTTTAATTTGTAAATGCTGGTTGTGAATATTACCTTTTTTGGCTGGGCACCTATATGCAAATATAATTTCCTGCAAACTAGCAGTGTACCATCAGCATACGACTAGGCAACTGGCATATTCTATGTCGTATGAAGACAGTTGCATAATTCTTACTTCGAGATAAATGCTTCCTGTCTCCTGTAATGGCTAATACCGTCATAAATACACTTTGAGTCTTACTTTGGAATGTGCTTAAGATATTATAGGCTCCATTTGGTAGTGCCTTTAAAGTCGCAGTTTTTCAAGGCAGAATTTGGCAATACTTTTCTTCATTGCTCTTGCTTCAATAATAGCTTTCCCAGGAATAGTTGTTACATTTCTTTAGACTTGCTCCTTATTGTATTTTGACTTGTAAACACTGTTTCCCATAGGATGTTATTGGATATATATGTTATGTTTTTTCCTCATTTGTGTTTTCCTAGGATATAAATGTCCTGAATATTTCTCTTTTGGGACTTTCCTCCTGAACTTTCACTTAGGTGCTCACTTCTTGTTTGTCATGCAGGTTGATAATGGGATTTAAGCGACCTTTTGACGATGAGGAATTTCAGGAGCTTCCTTTTAAGCATCCAAGACAGTTTAACTATCCTAATAAGCTAACCCAATTTGTGGAAGTTGTTCCCTTTAATAATGCCCTAACTAAACTGGGTATATCTGGTAAGATGTAGTCATTTTACTTGCATTTGATAATAGCTTACATGTTAAATAGTTAAATTTCCCAGTCCATGCTCTAATATTGGTTGGTATTGGTTTATGTGCTTAGATGAGGGTAATGGAACCTTTTATAAATCTCATGAACAAGAGGAATCAGAAGATGACACAATTGATGAGGACTCAAATGTTAAGACAGGTGCTCCCTTGTCATGGGTCACAGGCACTTCTGCTGAGGATGCTAAGACTGCAACTACAGATCAGTCATCTGCTTCCCAGGAACATTTTGAGTTTGATTTTCCTCGGAGGACTTTCCGTCCCTTTGAGGATGCTTATCTTTGCTCATGGATCTCTCCTCTCGTAGAAAAAATTCCTATTGACCCAATCATCAAGCTACCATACC